TCAGAAAAAAAAATCTCGTTTTTATCTCTTTCCCTAAAACATTGGGTTGTTTGCTCACATTCCCAAAAGCCACGCCCACCCCACTATGATTTAAGTGATTGGCTAGAAAAGAAACTCCGGCCTTCAACGTTCGTGACGCTCCGCCATTTTCCGTGAGCAGCGCGGATCACTGACAGCGACAGTAGGAAGCCGTGAACTCAAGTATGTGCTTTTCCTGTAATGTCTGTAGAAATATTTGTGTAAACTTTGCTAAGGAACTTTGCTAAGAAAGAATAAAGAACGCACCCAGATTTACATAGAAGAGGGGTTGATCTGTTTGCAATTATTTATAACTATTTAAACTTTACTCTTTTTAGTAACAGGAACTGTGCGCTTATGTTCGTGTACAGTTTTCTAGGTATTTAGTTAGCGCATTGATTTTTCATTTTTTAAAAATGAACTTGAAATGTTTGGTTTTGCCACAGTGACTGTATGCATTAAGTTGATGCATCTACCCTATACAAATTTGTGGTTTCCACCAGGTGAATCAATGGCTTCACAGAAATGTCTCGTCCAAGGTAATCGCTTTTATTTTGCCTACATTTAATGTGCCAGGCTCTTACAAAGTGTGTGGTAGCAGAAAGTGTAAACCTATTGCATATTCATTTCATCTTAATAACAGTTCGTGAGTTGCGGGTTAAGATTGGTTTCGTTATTTTATCTGTTAATGAATAATTATTTTGTCAAGTGCCAAACATTTCTTCCAAAATGAACTGAAATACCATGTTAAGTTAGTTTAGTAATTGTTTTTTTATTAACTTTAGGTAGCCTACATTGAAAAACCGCGAAAATGACTGATTAAATATAGAACATTTTTTTTCAGATAGGAGCTGCAGGTTAGACAACAGGTTGACATGATATTCATTGCCAGCATGTTCGTACCATATGAGGACTCCGAGGTGAAGTCCTCGGTATTTTTTCTGCAACTCCAATAACCATTACGGGGCACACCTATAGGAAGAGCTGACGGTTTTAATCTCGGTATCGGCTTCAGCCCTGATTCCCAATATTTTTGCTGACTCATTATGATCGTGTAAAATTGCCCACTTATTTGACCTAAGTTTTTAAAAATAATTAACAGGGTTGCCAACTCCCACGCATCCTACTCACGCTTTCAGACTCACGCTCACGCAAGAAATCTTACAACAAATCTATATTGTTCCATTTAAACCTAAAATTGTCTACATCAATAGCCCCTGAGCTGGAGCCAATCTGGATTTTTTAATTTTTTTCGATCGTGTAAATTGTATTTTTCTTACTTACTCTTTTACGTTTAAACATTTGTGTAAAGCTGCAGGCAAATAATGCATGAATTGTATTTCTAATTTTGATATCTTATAATAAAGGGTTCTGAAAGTGACCAAAACAAATGATAAAGCCTGTGGTCAATCAAAACGACATTAAAATATGATTGTTAACTATAATCATCGCCCTTTGTGCCATTATTTCCTCTGAATCACTCCTCCTGTTCTAAACCAACAGGATGCCAAGCTCCGGGTCCAGTGACCAATTCCCAAATCCGCATATACAGTATGAGGTTCTGCCCCTTTGCTGAAAGGACGCGTTTGGTTCTCAACGCCAAGGGTATCAAGTGAGTTTCAATTTATCCACAGCCGCTGCTATAACAATATAATCAAACAGGCATGTTACATTTCAGAGGTGACAACAATGAACAGCATCACATTCTCATTTTCAGCTATGAAGTCATTAACATCCATCTGAAGAACAAACCTAGTTGGTTCTTTGAAAAAAATCCAGCGGGTACCGTTCCAGTTTTGGAAACTGTGCAGGGTCAGCTGATCTGTGAATCACCAATCACGTGTGAGTACCTGGATGAAATGTTTCAGGACAAGAAGCTCTTTCCTGCTGACCCATTTAAGAAGGCCCAACAGAAGATGCTGCTTGAGGAGTTCTCCAAGGTAGTAACTCACCTGTAACTAAACATATGTGTCAAAACCATATTTCATTCACTGGACATTAGCTTCCCATTTTTTACATTCCCTGGACGGGATATATATATGGTTTTGGGACTGGTCCACCACTGCTGCCACAGACACCTTGTCATTAACACGATAACTCAAAAAGTGCTTGATGGACCTTTTTCAAACTTTGCAGATACATATTTGATTTTATTTTTTTTTCTTGGGTGATGATCTGGAACTGATCAAATTTGAAGTAACGCTACATTGTGACAGCAAATGGATGGGTGACTACAGATGACATTTGACTTTATGAATGTGATAAGTCAAAAATTAATTGATGGATCTTATTACTTCTTCATAAAAAACATTGTATGGATGAAGATCTGCACCTGATTTCATTCTGGCCATTTTTTCACTGCACCAGGTACTGTACTTTTGGTGCTAAAAATTTGGTACTAAAAATTTTCCATTGACTTCTGGTCAGGTACCAGTACTAAAAGTAACAACCAGCTGGGGGGATGGCATTTAGGTTGGGGAGCATGCATAGGTCCAGCTCGTTGCTGTGCCCAACATACAATGCGACACCTCAGGATTCCAGTTGGTGACCCCCCCCCCACACCAGGTCCAGTCCCACTCTCCAGAAATGGTCATCTATCTGCTGCAGCCAGATGTTACGTGGGCATCCCCTTGGCCTGGTCCAGCCGCTAAATCCCCAGCATTACGCCCTTTTCCAGGACAACTTTCCGGAACGTGGTCCCAGTTGTCTCGACCAGGAACCTTTGTAGTTCCTGCCCACCTTCATGTGTCACTTGCACATCACCACACAAAAGGAACTGGGATCTTTATGCTAAATTAGCAGGGCAGACACAAAATGTTCATAGGTTAAACTTCACACATAATTCCATACGAAACTACGGTACCTGGTGCAGTGGAAAAGCTCGCTCTGAGATAATTTGCCCCAAAACTTAAGCGGCAGTAACTATTTCACAGATGTCTGCAAAGTTTGAAAAAATATTGTGTAGACTAACATCTGGAAATTTAGAGACAAATTGGACCAAAATTAGACCAACACAGCTTAATGGCAGTAAAGCGAAGGGTGACTGCAGAAAATGCTTGACTTTTTGAAAAGGATAACTCTATTTGATCTTTGGATCTTATTACCACTTCACAAAAACATTATATGGATGAAAATCTATACTTCATGCCCCTGAGACAAATCACCCCTAAACTGAAGTAGCTGCGCTAGGGGGCGGTAGAGGATGTAAAGGGAGGCTGTGAAAACAGTATTCCGTGGATGTTTTCCAACTTCTTAGGAACATAGTACAGGTCAGTGGTTCTTAAACTGTGGTGGGCAAACTGATTTTCTGAATATTCTAAAATAAAGCTTATATATTTTTTGTCGCTAGTCTCCCTGCTTCATAAAATTTATCATTAGCAGTCCGGTAGCCCGTTAGCAAAGTGTATTGTAGGAAACCCAACAAAATATAGTGGGAGGGGGGGGAGTTTAATTAAACGTGGATTTTTAATAAGGAAATTTGGAGAAGTAGGGGGGAGTGGGTAGGGTAGGGTGGATGGTATTCTGATAATATTTTCAGTTCAGTGAGGGATTTTCGTTTGCCAAAATTTATTGCAGGTTGCCCCCTTATCATGGGGGAATTTAATCGTGTCAGTTGGCTCTAGCTCAGCACATGAAAGAACAACTGCAGGTCTGGTGAACTTGATTGCAAATTTATTGATATTCCCAGTTGATTCAACCAGTAATTCTAGAAATTATGTAAGTGGGTTGTGTGGGAGGAGAAAAGATTTGATGGAGGGGGGCTGTATGGGGAATAACAGCATGACATCATGTTTTTCTAGGTTTTTTTTGGTCTCTCTTCTAACACCCATATCAAACAGATCATTGAATGCTGGTTGTTGGTTGTGCTGTTATCTTTGGTCTGCAACTCTCACAGAATATCCAGAGTGGGAGTGACCAAATGCATGGACCATCTGTGACTCCACAATAATCTATTACATTCTACTTCAGGTTGTTCCATTTTTTTATAAAATCCCTATTGGGAAGAGCAAGGGTGAGGATACGTCTGCCGAGGAAGAAGAACTGAAAGGGAAATTCATAAAACTCAATGAGGTTTGTTAAGATGCATTGTGATAACCTGGTATTGCATTCTTGAGGTATCTACTGATGTAATGCAGTGTAGTGTTGTTTTTGGTCATTAAGACATTCCTTCAAAACAAATGTTGGAGCAATTTCTGCATGTGGATTTTATTTGTCTGAGTTTCCTGCTGCATTACTACTGGATCCATATGTGCATGTATGTCTGCTTCTCAGGTTCTAGTTGGCAGGAAGACAAAGTTTTTTGGAGGAGATTCTTTGACTATGATTGATTACTTGATGTGGCCTTGGTTTGAGAGGGTGGATGGCTATGGAGTGGCACGGTAAGTACGGCTTGTTGCCCTGAACATCTAAGATACTTTGTGTTCTGCATGACTTTGTGATGATCATACTATGATCTTTAAAATGTGATTTACAAGAACGGCTGTGGAGCATAAATGTTTCACTGTTTCTCCAGCCTCTTGGATGCAGCCCCGGCGCTGAAGGAGTGGATGAAGCGTATGGTTGAGGATCCAACTGTCAAGGCAACCATGTTTGATGGCGAGACCCACAAAGCTTTTCTCAAGAGCTTCTTTGATGGCAAACCCAACTATGACTTAGGCCTGTAGAGATTTTTCTTGTCTGTTCTTGTCTTTGATTTATTGCTTTCTGTTTTTTTAATCAATCAGGTCTATATTCTCTATCAAGTAACTTTCCATATCTACTGTGGTGATTGTGATTGTAATAGACCAAGTTATTGCTGGGATGGTTTGCATGACGATAAAGTGATTTTTTTTTTAAATGTTTTGATATTTGATATTGAAAGTTCTACTGTTGGTCCTCCTAACTACTTTCTTTTCATGGTGTGTGGGTCACTTAATGCCTCGCTTCTTCATTCCACTGGCATAATAATGTATATTTGGTCACAGTTCATCCATGCAAGTTAAATTAAGCTAACACTTTAGTAATCTCAGATGCATTACCGACAACAGCCACAAGATGTCTCTACTGATTTGTAGAGATGTGACGTCAGTCTAACTTGGGTAAACAAAGGTGGACAGTCTCCTTCTGCCAAATGGGTGTTTCCCAGTTGACTCAGCCTCAGACATCTTTTTTATTATTACCAATTACCATCAATAATTACAGTGTCTGAACAATGGAAAATTTCAGATAATGGCTTCCTGTCAAATATCTATGTCTGCTCAATGTGAAAAGTTTCATAATAAAACGAATGATGATCCCGGTGTTCGGTTTTATTTTTTTAAATACAAGTGTAAAAACACATTTTCAAAAATTAAAAAAAAGGTTGCTTTTCTATTTGATAGTAAAACATGTAACTGTTTTAATATTGAAACAAAAGTTAAAACACAAAGATGGCATTTTCCCCAGCGCCTTCACTTGCTGGTTTGTCCTGTTACTCCAGATGCAATTTTGCTATAATTTAAATATATTAATGACTTGCAGGCAGGCAGACATGTGAATGGGCCAAACTGTCCCTGTCTCCCAGCAGTCTGAGTGTAGTAAACGCTGGAGGGACCTTCCCAGCTGAGTCGGTGAGTGAAGGGCGTATTACTTTCGCTTTGTAATTTCCTTCCTCTTGCGAAACTTGACTCTACAATGGCTCTGCAAAGGACACGGCGACTGCAGTTCCTGCAGCAAACCAGAGGAGCACAGAGTGCACTTTCTTTGGAGAAGCATCCGGCCCATAGAGCTGCAGTACATAGTTTTGTGATTTTACATGGATATTCAAACCACATTATTGTACCAGCATCTAACAAAGCAGAAACATCTTAGGCCCTGCACTGGACTGTTCACCGTCACCCTTGGATGGATGGATGGATGGATGGATGAGTAACATACAAAATCCTTTACCAGCAATACAATTTAAATACCATTCTGTGGCATCATACATTATCAACACCATATTGAAATTGTCTCAGTGCTATGTATCAATTCAGTGCTGTGTTAGACATTAACATTAAAATGACAAAAAAAAAAAAACTATGCTTTTTTTTTGCCCAGGACATGTTCCACACTAATGAAGGGTGGCAACAAATTCAAAATCAGAGCAAAAAAGTACAGAGGAACCTGGTTGGCTCCTGAAAATATACTACAATCTGTAAAACTGAATTTTAGAACCGTAACATTGAGATTGAGGTTTTTCTTTCCATTGATATTGCGTCTAATCATGTTTCAAATGTAGGGCCGGAGTGGGACCGAGTCTCAGCCCTGAAATGTCACATACAGACTAGGGGTGAGAAATGGCCGTAACACATCCGGGTCAATGTCAACGCGCTCGTTCTTGGAGACGCCGACTCTACGCCTGATTGCTGGGGCTGGGGGTTTGCTGCAGGTGAGGAATGGAGAACTGGGGCGTATATTCCTGTATCAGCACCGGCGCGTTTCTCAGCATCTCTCGGAAGTGTTCCACCGTGCTGGCATACCGCTGCCTCTGGAGAACCAGGGGTCGTAGCAGATTGATTGGCTCCACCGTCCGGAAGATGACCGGGAAGGAGAAATCCTGGGGCAGCCTGGGGTTACCCAGCAGGGCGTGACAGAGCCGCTTCTCCTGCAGGCTGCTTTCTAGAAAGCCGAGCAGGTCCCGCACCCGGGCCCCCAGTTTTGCACCCCCCCAGTCGGTCACCCGTCGGTTGAGGAGCAGGTGCAACAGCGCCGTCTTTAGGTGGTAGTTCGTCAGTGCGCTCCCGCCAGTCAAGCCTGTTTGCTTTTTAAGCAGGAAACACACAATCTGAAGGCACTGGAGGTGGCAGGAGTCGACAGGCAAGCGTTTGACTAAATATTTTAGTAGATTTTTCTCATAGATAGCAAAGGAAATGGGCCAGTACATATCAGAGGAGCTGTGGTCCTCAGAAGGAAAGTGGGAGACAAGGTAGGCATCTGTGTCTTCCAGCTGCACTACTGGTATGATGTTCAGGACGATTGTCCTCCCTGACGGCCAGCGCACTTTCAGAGCGCCAGGGAAGTCCAGGCTGCGAAACATAAGCTCAAAGTCGTATTTGTGGGAGATCCGCCCCCACGCTTTCGTGACGGCGACCTGGAACCACTTCATGACCTTGTCTTTGGCCAGGTAGGACGTGTTCTTGGAGCACAGGAGGTCCCCGGCCGCCTTGCTGACGACGGGCTTCTCGTTTCGGCCGTGCAGCAGACACAGCAGGTCGTCACCCAGGTCGGCTTTGCCGCAGAGACAGCCGCCCCCGTCCTCGCCGGCTTGCACCACCTGGATCCGGCCGCAGCCCTGCATATCCGGGGGGACGTCGCCGTTCCCGGTGCACCACAGCTGGAACGTGAAGCGGTACGGCTCCGGGGGGGCGAACGGCACGAGCAGATCGCACATCAAGGGCTTGCTCGCCCTCCATCCCTCGTACATACTCCCCACGCCCATCGGCTCCTCCACCTCCATGTCGGCCTCCCTGTCGCAGACGCTACGCCACGCCTCCAGCAGGTCGTCCGAAAAACCCTCCACAAACTCCTGCACCCTCCAGTTCTCGTGGGCAGATGTGCGAACGCACCTCTCGTAAAAATTCCCAAGGAGCCCTTTGTCTGGAAATAGACTGTTGGAACACTTGGAGTCGGCCGGCAAGATATCCTCGTCCTCGAGATCTCGGGCGTGCGGGTCGACGTACTCCTGCCTGCAGAGCTCGATCGTCAGGAAGGCGACCAGAGACAGTGCGCTCCAGATGTACCAGCTGTAGCTCGTCTCCTCACTCTGGTCTTCAGGAGCCGCTTCCACCTCCACCTCCAGCAGCAGCTGCTGGGCCCGAAGGAGCTCCTCGTGCTCCCTCATGCGGGCCAGCAGCTCGGCATCCTGCTCCAAGATGCTGCTGTTGTTTTTCGGAAACAGGAGGGGGTGGTTGAGGATGGCGGCAGCCACCACCACACACGTACGGACGAGAGCCCCCTGCATCATCACTGGGGTTTCTGTGGGGATAGAAGATCCAGATATCACCACTGTTCAACACCACCTAAACAGCGCCATCTTAAAACATGGGCATTTGTGTGAGCAAACACACCCTCAACCCAACTGACACCTTCAAGTGAAATTCATTGTCTTCTGTCATACTTGCATATTGCCACATCATAATTATATTCTCTAACACAGTGTTTCACAATCCAGTCCTCAGGGACCCCAAGACGTATTTTTGCTCCCTCCCAGCTCAGTAGCACACAAGAACCAAACAACCAAGCAGTCAAGGACACCAGGTACCTGGTACAGGTGGCCTGGGAGCCGGGAGGGAGCGAAAATGTGGACTGGCTGGGGTCCCCGAGGACTGGACTGAGAAGGACAGCTTCAACACATTATGAAAGTAATCAGCTTAGGTTTAGGTACATGGCTAAAATTCAATGCTATTTTTAAGATTACGATTGTGTTTTAGTTGTAACTCAAGCAGACTATATATAACAGCAGTAGTGCAGTCGATGATCTATAGGCGAAGAGTTTCTTCAGGGGCCGAAAGAGACGACCTGACGAGGAATTTGTGGGGCAACAGGAGCGACATTGTCCTGCTCCCAGTGGACCCAGCAAAGAAGGGAATCAGATAACATTTAAGGGTCTGCTGCAACACAATACAATCCCAAATAAAACTTTCCCCCTTCAATACTCTTGTGGAATCAAAAACCATTAACCCCCACAATGAATAGTCCATTCTACCTGATATGGCAATTATGTAACTAGCTCAACTTTGCCTTCTAAGATAAAATGCAACAGATTTAGGTTCACAAAGGAGAGGTCCTCTGAGTTATGCGAGAGTCTGCAAACTGTTCGCATTCACTTTCTTGGTAAAGTCTTACAAGAGGAAGGAAGTTCTGTACAAAACTTGTTCCTGGTGTTTAAGTTGTACTTCAGAATCTGCTGCTGCTGACAAGAAGCAGAAAACTTGATAAGAATGGATGCCAAACAGATACATCATCCAAAAATAAGTTTGAAGGATTGAGTGGTTGTTACAGGCCATTGATTTTGCACTGGGCAAAGTAAATCATTCTATGGTGAAATAAGATCAGCACCTCAAACAGACCCTGTTATCTTTGTTTTATAGGACGGGTTCTGGGGATCAATAAGTGATATACTCAATTAAGCCAGAGTTTGGGTACTAACGTTTGTTTTAAAGTCAGATTTGTTACATTGTAACACCGTTTGCTTAGGAAAATCCCCACGCTAAGTCTTCAACATGGTTATGATTCCTAGAATGTGGATTGTGTACCTTTGTGTTGTAAATGCACATCTGTCATTGTTATATAAACCATGCGGTCCAAAAATAAACGCGGATACGATTATTAGTTTTTGCTGCGTCGTATGTTGTATACCGTACATCATTAGTATTTTACGCCACCGTGAAAAATAATATTTCAAGCGAAACGAGGTAGGCTGTTTATTCCGATTAACAGCAACAGTGGGCACCGTAAACCACACTTCACTAAACCGTCGCTTAAGAATAAGCAGGAACTGATACAGCCATTGAACACTTCCTCATCGTAGCCATATGACTCGTTAAATAAAACTAGACAGATGCGCATTTATATTTACATACGGAATAATTTCATACATACTTGAAAAGGTGTATAGGCTAATACTTATTTCCAGTCGTAACGAAGCGGTCGTTCCTGAGCGGGAGAAGCGCATGTGCGACTTCCTGACAGATTCACCATATACTCAATTAGTCTGGCTAGTTTCGAGTCACAGAACAAACGAGAAACAAAGAAATCGGCTTTATAGCTGTATTAGCCCGGGAAAAGATAAAATTAGAAGTTTTAAACTAATCGTCGACAACAATTTCAACGAATGATCAACATTTTCATAACCAACCACTGAATGAGCTTCTGTGCACTGGACGTCGGACTGCTACCATTTAATATTAATATAACGATTTGAGGATCTAAGGATTAATAACTAAGGAATAACAAAAACATACCGACCTTCTGACAAAACATGCTCATTTTAATCGGAAGACGTCATATGCGAGGCCATGAGATGTAGCGTGTGACGAAGGGCAGGCAGGGAGGCAGGCACAGAGGCAGGCAGCCCCCTTTCCGCGTCTCCTAGCCCGTGTTCACGCAGCGCGGCTTTCGCTCATTTCCTGACTGCCCTGACCATGAGAAACATTTTCCCTCTCCTATAAAAAGCACAGCCGTCGCACAAACATCCGCTTTAAAGGGGGCGATTCTGCGATAACGCCTCTTATCTGCTTAGATGACCGCCTGCTGATTTTTTTTTATTGGCTCATTTCAATTTAAGGGCGATTCAGTAAAAAACACAAAGGAAGAAATTATGGAAGGTGTGACCGCCTGAAATTAGGCTACAGGGGTGGAACTGAGCCAGTAGCCTGTTTTTCTTGACGCCCAAAATGAAACATTTTTCTTTTTTGTCGTTCCACTATTTGCAGCCACATCTGGCAACGGTTACTATAGGAGGTGTTTCCATTTAGTTCATTATAATAGCGTTTCAGCTTATTGGATATTTATGCATTTTTGTTTCTATCTATCGACTGAGCATGTATGCAGTGGCTTAGTTCATGTGCCGTTTGTAGGTGTTCCGCTGTTCTTTCTCTGTATTAGTAATGATTGGTTGAATGTTACGGCCGGGGTGTACAAAAGACAGCTAATGTAAAAGTGACTGGTGCAAGGAGATGACACCGAGATGTTACGTCTGTCTCACTAATACGGAAATCCCAGAATGACTTGGTGGATTTAATCGCACTTCTCTCACATTTTCTGGAAATAAACATGACCTATGTTTCAACAGTATCCTACTTTCAAATAGGCCTACAAATTTGGATTTGTTATAATTTAGCTACCGTTGTCAATCTCATGTTCCGCAGAAATACAATCTTTCCTGCGTGTGGTGATTATATTTGTTTTATTTAAACCGGGTTTAAAGGTCCTAATTATCAGGGCAACAACCATTCTCCCTTTTGCAATGTAAAATATCCATCTAATTTGTACAATAGAAATATTCAATTACTCAATCATGGTTGCCTTTTATTCCAAGTATAGGCTTAACAGAAACAAAAGCAATATGATTATATTCGAACCAATAACCCTCACGACTTCACCAATTCGATTAGTCAAGTAAATAGGAGAAGGAAAACTGAAAAACGCCCAGACCAACATGAGAGGCGCTGTCAGCCAAAGGTTGGCCTGCTTCGATCGCTATTTAGAATATGTGGGAAGTTTCATGTGACAGGTGTCTGGAAGGTTTCTGCGACCGATCCAAGCCTTGCGTACGTATGACAGTCACCCAGACTGTTGTAGTCGCTTCGATCAACATTATTAGTGTATATTATCAAGAAGTGTAGCTATTCATTCGATGTCGATGTTTTATGTTTAATTTGTATATCTGGAATTATATTTTAAAACATATTTTGAGAGCAAAGTAAAATTAAGAACAAAGATAGTATACTATTAAAATAAAATAGGCCTAATTCTTAACTATCAGACAAAAATCTAAACTAATAATCGTAACATAATATTTCATAGTTAATTATGGACCGTTTAAAACTGGTGTTGCAATATTTTCAATCAAACTCCGAATCGATTTCAAACGGGATTTGTGTTATACTGGCTCTGATTAGCGTGAAGCTGTACACCAGTTTCGACTTTAACTGTCCTTGTATTCCCCAATACAACAAGCTATACGCATTAGGGGTGATGTTTGTACCCCCAGTAATACTCTTTTTCTTGGGGGTAATAATCAACCGGCACACCGGGGTGATGATGGAGGAATGGGTAAGACCGCCTGGGAAGAGAACGAAAAATCCAGCTGTTGTCAAGTAAGTTTCAGTTTTTCTGTTTTATTCGCTTGGTGGTGGTGGAGGAACAAATCGGTAGGTTTGTTAATTATGCTTAGTGTATATGTGTATAGGTATTCCGTACGATGCTTAAATCGCATACATAGTGTTCACTGCTGTCATGTCTATTACATTTAGCTTTGTTAATTTGCTGAAAATGCAGTCCTAATACTTATAATGCTCTTTGGGATGGTAAGGTTGCTGGTAATGTTGAAAACAAAAAAAGCATGTTGAAGTGAACCTTTCCTATTTGTTTACAGCTAGTTTCGAGTTTGCTTTACAAAAGCGTCATTTTAATGTGTCAAAGACATATGTGCTTCGAGTCGTAGCTGGCACGCCAACAAACACCGGGAATAGCCTAGACATCAGAGACGGACACTTCCCTTGTTATTCAAGATCAAAGATAAAATGTCCCCTTTCTAACCAATCTACGTTTAAACTTTTGACATGGAAAAATCAAAGAAAGGAAGTATATCAATCTGTAAATAAAAGGTAAAATAAAGAGTATCAGATATCTTAATATCTCAACGTAATATCTAGGCTATTTTCAAGGAATTATTGTCTATAAGGCCAATTAAAACAGAGTACTCCATTAGTAATTAATAATAAAGCATGTGAAGCCCGCAGGCTGTCTTAGGTAGGGGTAGAGTTCTGCAATTAGGCCTACTTATAGTTTAATCAAAAGCAAATCAACTATAATGGTGCTCATGAAATTCACGTTTTGTCCTCTGGTAAACAATTGTGGTTTGTGTGTCGGCAATGCCTGCGTGAATTTCCAAGCATTGTCTGACGGTGTGCACTGGCATTTAAAGTTGCGTTTCCATTTCAGGTATCTGTGCTCAGCGATGATGCAGAGAGCCCTGCTAGCCCCTATGGTTTGGGTGCTGGTCACATTGCTGGATGGAAAGTGCTTCGTTTGCGCCTTTAGCATGAGTGTGGACCCCCGGCACTTCACGGGGATACCCAACAACACCGGCATAGACCTCGTCCGGCTGATGGCCAAGGTGCCGTGCAAAGAGGATGCGGTGTTTCGTAACAGCACCTTCCGGAAGGCCGTCACTCGCTATGTGCGCTGCTACTCACAGGTCAGCGTTTGTCTATATTTCCATTCAGGGAGGGGCCAGAAAACTTGTTCTCTTGGTGTAAGAGGAGCATTTAAATTTTATTGCTCAGATTTATAGCCATCTTTCCACTTATTTTTTTAAACGCCAATAAAAACTAATTACATTTATGTTTAGCTTTTAACATGGTGGGGCACGGTGCCACAATGCTTAACACTGTTGTCTCACACCTCTAGAACCTGGGACCTCGGGGTGTGAGGAGTTTGCATGTTCTCCCCATGTCACCCTGGGGTTTCCTATGTGGGCTGCAGTTTCCCCCCACATTATGAGGTTAATTGTAGTTGCCAAATTGCACATAGTTGTGCATGTGTGAGTGACTGGTGTGTAAGTGGGCCCTGTGATGGGTTGGCACCCCATCCTGGGCTGTTCCCTGCCTTGTGCCTATAGCCTCTGGATCCCTGGATAGGCTCTGGATTCCCTGTGACACTGAAAGGGATAAGCGGTTACAGAAAATGGATGGTTGGATGGATGGATGGATGGATGGATAGCAAATATGTTCAAAGCGAGGCCAATCGCACATTGCAAACAGAGGTTACATAATGTCAAGGAGTCAATAAGGCATAAGGGCAGCTAGGCTGAGCTTCCAGTGAAAGCCCAGGTACAGCTAGGCTGAGCTTCCAGTGAAAGCCCAGGTACAGCTAGGCTGAGCTTCCAGTGAAAGCCCAGGTACGAGTGTAAGCAGATGGGAGCAGGAGCTACACAACAAGAAGCAAGAACCTAATTATGTATTAAAATAATTGTGCAGTTTTCCATTATAAATGTAATTATCACGATGTTAAAGCTGCCCTTCAGTGCCACTTTGCACTTTTTCACAGCTGTCAGTGTTCAAAATGGCATCTGGTCATAAACAAATTAGGATGAATAATAGATACCTGGTTTCCCTGTACCGCCCCCTACAGGCCATCGGCTGGTCCATTTTGCTGTTCCTTATCCTCCTGGGAGCCATTGGCCGAGTAGTGAAGCCCTGCTTCGACCACGCCACCTTCCTGCAAACGCGCTACTGGAGCAACTACCTAGACATCGAGCAGAAGCTGTTTGACGAGACCTGCGTCCTGCACGCGCGGGAATTCGCACGCAAGTGCGTCCATCAGTTCTTCCAGAGCATGCAGGAGGACATGCAGCTGCGGCTTCAGCTGCCTCCCCCTCACTGCCACCCCCATCACCGGGATGAGGAGTATGAGGATGAGGACCATCTCCATGGAATCACCAGAGACGAACAGGTGGACCGCGTGCTGAATACCTGGTACTTTTGCAGACCTGAGTTGGATGTGACAAAGACTGCACATCAACCCAAAGTGTACATCACTTGGGAAGACCACAACGGCCGGACACTGTTCTCAGATGTTTAATTCCTGCCCTGAAATCCTGGAAGGTGGATCCTGAGAGACCAGATGCAGTTTGAAGGCCTGAGGGTTGTAGGTCTTTGTACCATCATCTCTTGTGACTATTGTATCCTTATCATGGCTGGTATAGAATGCTTGTCATTTGTACCTGTGTTCACTGTGATTTCTATGTAGGAAAATAACACTTTTGTCTTTTGTTAAATCTTTTGAAAAGAAAAATAACATGAACAATTACCCTATAAAACAGCTGTAGCGTTGTGTGTGGGGGGTCATGTGTATATTACATTATGGGGACAAAATGTCCCTACAATGTGAAAAAAACTGTAACTTTGACCTGGGGACCATTTTTTGGTCCCGACAAGGGGGAAACTCAATTTTATAAAAAACCATAGTTGCAATCATCCATCCATTTTCTGAACCTACGTATCCTATTCAGGTTTGCTAAGGGGGGCAGAGCTTACAGGCACAGGACAGGGAACAACCCAGAATGGGGCATCAATCTAACACAGGACACACTCACAGAACACACTCACAGATCATTCACTCACACATACACACCTACAGGCAATCTGGTAACTCCAATTAGCCACAATATGTTCTTAGACTGTGGGGAGGAACCAGAGAAAACTGCACACCAACAGGTATAAGATATAATTACAGACATGTGTGTGGGTTTGTGTGTTGTGTGTGTTTAAAAATGGTTAAATGTTCTGGGCCATCTGACAAAATCTCACTTTGGACCCCCCTGTCCAGTTTTTTTGTATTCAGGGGCCCCTGTCAGGTGCTGGGGCCCCGCATCTGCCCTGGTTTCCATGCCCCTCCAACACCCCTGTATAGGATGGTTGTTTTGTACCTTCCCCCAGCCCAGTGAAAGCCTACTCCCCCTCTCTACATGCACCTCTGATTTTTGTTTACATGCGGACATCCTCAGATATTTGAATGTGATTAACTTGACCTGAGACTATTTGAATGCGCTGGATTTGTCATTGCCTGCTTTTGCATACTCAGCCTCGAATCCCACTTCTGACCAAGAGCTCTAGGATCTATGTAGATGCTCACTGACCCCTAATTCAATCTTCCCAGGAGGCTCATCAGCAAACACACACACTTCCATCAAGTAACCCTATGTCAAATAGCTTATTGTCGAATAGCTTATGGTCGAATAGCTTATTGTGGAATAACTTATGGTCGAATAGCTTATTGTGGAATAATTTATTGCCGAATAGCTTATTGTTGAATAGTTTATTGTGCTATCAATCACTCATATCCCCATATCAGTAGATTGATGTATATACTATATATGATATGCCACATATGTGCACTACGTTAAATGTTGTGCAGAGTAAATGAATTGTATTATTATAGAAGCACTTTTGGGCTGTCCAGTGCTTATTGACTTTGAACGTGCCAGTTGGGTGATGGGCCAGCGCTTGTGGTTTGACTTCTGGCCTAGAAGATGCCACCTCATCGTGACGAGCGTGACGAGAGAGCAGGGCCGCCCGTCAAGCAGACAAACGTGCTTTACCATCAGATTTGGTTTCTGTGGGCCACTTCTTCATCAAAGTCACGTGACGCGCACCTTCGCATGAATCGGCTGCATGCTTGCGTGTCCCAACCCCTCTACCAGCGAGAGATGAGCTGGCTTTGTTCAAACAGGGTGGGGCCGCTTTAAATAAGCAGAGATGTGTCTTTGCCAAGCATGGAGGTCCCCGGTCTTCAGCCATCTTCTAATCTTCATTAAAGGGCAGTTTCAGCTTGCTTACATATGGTCAATTGATTACCGAAGAAGGACTTCTTATGTAATTGCAATTAGTCCGGTGATGTATTTAAATAAACCTGTCAATAAAGTCATTGTGATAATATATGCACTGATTTTAATAACACTAAGACTATTGAACAGCATAATACAATTTAGGATTGTATTTAACTGTGTTTATGATTTACATATTTAATTTCTGGATAATTAACAGTCCTTACATAAGTTTCTGTCACTATTTTTTCATGGCTTGGTTTTAACCGAATGCCTTTTGAAAAATACGTTCAAGGAATTTACTTTTTACAGTTTAGAAGTATTTTTTAAGACTGAAAAGAAAAGTTCCATTCACCCTTTTACCTAGTTTGACTACTAAAAACAGTCGTCACTAATAACTGCAAACTAATGGTAGAAAGGGCAGGACAGGCGTCTTGTCTATGATCATGAATAACGCGACTGAAACATGCGATTCCCTATCTGTGGCTGCATCTAAGCGAACTCACGCCATTGCGCGGAGGAGGGGTTCCTGCCGACCCTGTTTAGCAAACGCCATTCCGGCTACTTCAAAGGGAGGGTTTATCGCCGGCAGAAGCGTGTGTTGCGATAATACACGGTCACTGACAGGTATGCTTTGGAAGTGCAAACTACCGCGATGCAATGTACCGGATGCTTTGCTGAACTAATTTTCTGAATCTTTGGACTTAAGTATCTCAGGTTGATTTTAAAACTGTACTATTAATGGATCTCGTCTATGGGAATGAAAAAATAACAGAAATGCATCACTAATCAATTGTGGCTAAATATATGTATATTAAAACGTTTTACATATTCCCATAGAATTACTAGTGCTTATATTTAATCGACTGTTAGTGGTCTTGTTAACTTTCCAATCGTTTTAACAACTTTGCTTCTGTTCCTGGAGGAAACACAACAAATCAGATCAAAATGGATAAATTTCGTATGATGTTCCAGTTTCTGCAGTCTAACCAGGAATCTTTCATGAGCGGCATCTGTGGGATAATGGCTCTTGCAAGCGCGCAGTTATATTCCGCGTTTGAGTTTAATTGCCCGTGTTTGCCAGAGTATAACTATGCGTACGGCATCGGGATCTTGATTGTTCCGCCCATATGGTTCTTTCTGCTTGGATTTGTGCTGAATAATAACGTGTCTATGCTGGCAGAGGAGTGGAGACGCCCGACGGGGCAGCGCCGAAAGGACCCGGCCGTGTTGCGGTACATGTTCTGCTCCATCACGCAGAGATCCCTGATCGCCCCCGTAGTCTGGATCTCCGTAACCCTGATGGACGGGAAGAGTTTCCTGTGCGCCTTCAGCGTAAATCTGGACCTGCGTCTGTTCGGTAACGGCAGCACTCCTGATCTGGCCAAAGCAGACCTGGTCAGACTGCTGGCAAAGATACCCTGCAAGGACGTCTTCGACGGAGAGCAGGTGGTATCTAGAGAAGCCGCCTCAAGGTACCTACGCTGTATATCACAGGTACAAGAACGACATAAAAAACACATTTTTTATACCTTTTTGTGAATTATTTGCATGATGGATAAATAGAGTTATGACCAGTGATGTAGATAGAGGAGAATGGGTGGGGGGACTGAGTTTTTACTGGGGGGCCAATGGCAAATATAAAAACTATTCATAACTTAAGCACATACACATTTATTTCATCAATACACATTTATTTGGGGGGCCATAAAACATTTAAGCTGGCTAAAGCCCCCCCTAAACAGGCCTAACGACACCCCTGGTTATGATATAGTATTTAATGAAATTTAAGTTGTGTAAAAGTATAGGGTTAATATATGGCCCAGAACCATCCTATAGTTTGATCCTCTGCATTGTGAAATTCTCTGTTCTGTATCTGAAAGAGTCTTTATCTTTCATGCTTTCATCAGGCGCTTGTTGTTTGTTCAGTTCTAAGCTTTGCGAGGCTTTCAGCTACATGTCTGTGATGTTCTCCACTTGGCAGGCTTGCGGCTGGACGTTTTTGTTGCTGACAACACTCGTGGCGTTCACGGTGCGGGCAGTCCGGCCGTGCTTCACCCAGGCCGTTTTCCTGAAGACCAAGTACTGGTCCCACTATGTCGACATCGAGCGCAAGATGTTCGAGGAAACCTGCACAGAGCACGCCAAGAGCTTCGCCCGGATCTGCATCCAGCAGTACTTCGAGAGCGTCGGCGGAGAGATGCAGGGCCTCCACGGGCAGCATTTGCACGAGAAGGACAAGAGCGAGGATGAGGGGGAAAAACCAAAGAGCGATGAGGAGAAACTTCTGGGAATACGGGCCCAGGACGATATGGACAAAGTACTCTGGAACTGGCACACCTGCAAACCGCCGCTCAATGTTAAGAAAGAGGACTTCAACAGCGCAAACTCCAATGGGACTATCAACATCAATGGCTTCTCAAATAACCTACAAAAACCAGACCCACCAAAAAAAGAGTGGGTTGCCTACTACAGTAAAGTTTGACAGATGTGTGTTTACAAGCAGAACTAAGGATGCATTGCACCCTGAGATTCATTATGTGCACTGCAAGTGCACGGTCGCGGGAATTGTGTTCCCTCACACGATTCCAATTTCAGATGCACACTTAGTGATTTTGTCCTAGATCCGGCACTGAAGTTTGAGCTGCTATGGAACATCAGCCACGATCTTAATTGAAAGTTAGAAACAGTGAGGAAGCCTTCACATGCTAACCTGACCACACCATCCACAACAGCGAGACATCAAAACAGCTCTGCTTGCCCATAAACTCCTATCGTGCTTCACACACCCCATTCAGTTACGCAGTCATACACATGTATGTTAACAAGTGTTCTTTTCACTATCCTCGGAGTTCTGTTGCTCTTCACGTCACCAGAAGAAACATCGACTGTCGTTTGTCTTGCATGACTTACCGTTAAAAGGGACCTAGGTATTAGAAAGTCGAACCAGTTGCATCTGCGTTTCGAAAAATGGTTTGCTAAAATCTGATAGATGTTGAAACAGAAGAGGTATTTTCTTTGTTTTACTGAAAGGACATGGTTCTGAATGATTTCTTTCTGGAAAATGGCAAACATATTTGTCATTCCAAAAAATCCTTCCGAAATGTATTTGTCACAAAAAAAGTACAGGGTTGGATTTTTCTTTAACTTGCAAGTGGACCACAACAGAGCATATTATGACTATGATTGACATAGAAAAGTCCTGTCGTCATGGTTTAATAGAATATATGCTTAACAGTGATTGATATGAACAAGGTTAAGTGACTAAAAACCCAAGGAATTCTTGGATTTAACCTTGATTTACTAACAAAGAGGAAGGATCAACTCTTAACTACGGCACCAGCTTAGGGCCCTCAAATTACTTGCACTGTTAAGGAAGTGAAATGATCATCAGTTATCTTTGTGGGGGGGGGCAAATAAAGCTTTGCCTAGGGCCCCGAGGACAACATTGACTGACGTACTTTGGAAATCAATGAAACAAGCAGCTTTTCGACCTGAAAAACACTAGCCTGCAGTCTGTGTTCAAGTTTCAATATTTATTTGTTACATACACAAACATACACTGTACATGTGTGTAGTGAAATGCTTTTTCCACTGGAAAAGGGAAACATGTCATGCAAAGACAATAGAATTTTTAAAAATAACATTAAAATAGGAAAAACAACAACAAGATTCAAGAAACTTTATTGTCATTCCACACGTTTGCACATGCCGTGGAGCGAAATTATGTACTCGGGTCACGGATAAGCCACAGAGCTTGTCACACACGCTTACAAAGATAAAAAAAAATAAATATAAAGGTATTGGAGTATAAAATATGGAATATAAATTAGCAGTATGTACAGTGTCCAAAAATAAATCAGTAAGACGAAATAAAAAGTAATGATATCATTAACAAAGCAGTGCTCGGGAATATGTAAAATGAAAAGTATGGCGTATAAAATGTGCAAAATGACGTTAGAAATTATCAAGAATGTTTAGACGTCATGTCTGAATTCATTCCGTTACACATTAAAGCAAAGCACAAACTACCAGTCTAATTTTCCATATATACTTTTCATGTATATAATTAATTTATATAATGATGTAATTTAGATTGTAATAGGCTTTTTAATAAAGTGCCTAGCAATCACATACCTGAACCTATCGTGACATAAGTTTTATTTTATACTGAATCATTCATGAAAAGGTGCTTTGGTTAATATGTTGAACATGCTCTCTGGACAGTACAGGGATGTTTGTAGTTTAATTTTCCCATTGTACTTTGGCATCTGTTCCCCATCCTAGTTTTCATTGAGTTTATGAAAAGTACATTAATTTGCTGACCATTCGCAGTTACATGCTTAGAAAGTGATATCATAAAAAGGGGACAAAAGAGTCACACGGAGCAGTTTCACCTGGATGTTCCCTATTGTCCTTTTAAAGTGATTAACCGTCGATTGTCATCTTCGATCCTTTACAAATGACAACAAAGGAACAATACGCTTCTTTACAGTGTTTGGCTGAATGCTGCAATGAATCACTGGAGATCAATACAGTTGTAATAAAGAACATCATTCAGAGTGCAGCAACCTGTTAATATCACTGTCTGTGTCACTTTTTGTCCAATCACTCTTCCTATTCTGTGCTTTGCAGTTACCTGCAATCCAATTATGAAGTCACTCAGTCCACACCTACACAAATGGTCTAATTTTTGTTAGACTGTAACAGAAAAGAAACCAAAAAAATGAATGGAGTATATTCTGTTACATCCTTTCAATGTTTATACAATATGAACCCATTCATATTGTTATTAGCTCCATTTCAGCCTTTAAAAATATTCAGACCAAAATATAAATAATATCTACAGTAAGATCAATTTTTAATCTTTCTAACAATTCACATAATCAAAGACACACATCCTGCATTGCATGCTGGAGTGTAATGCAAATCAGGCGGCAGCCATCTTGAATTCTTATTTCTGCCACATGTGTGCCGGAGAAACATGCTTTTTCCATTTGGGGGGAGACTGAGGGGCACTTCCTGCCAGTGACGAATGCCTGGGCAGTGAGGCGTTGGTCGGGTTTTGCTTCCCTGCGCTGGCACTTCTGCGTCTCAGCTGTTAAAATCTGCTCTGATTCTTGTTTTTTTTTTTACAAATCTGTGCATTTCTGACCTGGACTTTCTGACAGAGGCGAGGTGAACCAAACAGTAAGGAGCGCTGCAGAAAGTAAGTTTTCTCAACTTGGTCTGTCTAGGATACTTAAAGTGCGTGGAGGCCACAGAATTCTTAGAAGGGTTTTTAGAGCATGTTTTGCACTGGGCAAGAGCTGCATTGGAAAGAATTGCACGTACTGAAGAATGCGTATCTTCGGCAAAATCAAGGACCAGATGCCTTCTGAAGCTTGAGCTGGACTGGCTGTTTCTGCAGCTCCCTCACCTATCAAAGCCGATCGCTTTGTGAAAGCTGGTACTGAAGGCTCTAGGTTAAACAATCAGCTGAACTCTGTGGCCCTCGGCGCGCTCAATGCTCGGATACGATGGCGGCCCTCATATCAGAGAACTTCAAGTTCCTGTCCCTCTTCTTCAAGAGCAAAGATGTGGTGATTTTCAACGGTTTGATCGCTCTGGGCACGGTCGCCAGTCAGACAGCCTACAACATCTTCGCCTTCAGTTGCCCCTGTTCCCCGGAACGAAACTATCTCTACGGCTTGGCAGCCATCGGGGTACCCGCCTTGGCCCTGTTCCTGATCGGGGTCATGCTCAACCGGAACACCTGGAGCTTGGTGTCGGAATGCCGGATTCGGTTCTGCCGTCGTCTCACCTGCCCGGCAGGCTTCGCACTGCTGGGCTCCATCCTGGGCCGGGCCGCCGTGGCCCCCGTCACGTGGACAGTGCTCTCGCTGCTCCGCGGCGAGGCCTACGTCTGCGCCCGCAGTGAGTTTGTTGACCCCGCCTCCCTGGTGGACTTTCCGGAAGGTTACGGACCCCAGATAATGGCACGTTTCCCCTGCCGGGATGTACCCGCTGTGGTCTTGCCATTCTGGCCAGCAATCGAGCGTCAGCTGAAGTATGAGTCTCAGGTAACACAATTACTATTATCACAATGTGTTCCTGTAGTTCAACATTTAGAGCATTATACTAAAAATGTCAGGGATTCAAATCTGAGAGAATACACATTGTAACTTTTCTGTCTGCTATAAGCAGTTCTGGACATTTCAGGTCCAAAAGCTACAAATCCAGACCAAGATTTTGTTTCTACCAACCAGTTGAGCATAAAGACTCACAGTCACGGTGTACTCAGCTGGTTGGTAGAAACAAAACCTTGGTCTGGATTTGTAGCTTCTGGACCTGAAATGCCCAACACTGGCAACAAGTCACTTCGGCTAAAAGCGTCAGATAAATGCAATGTCGACTCAACCCACATAAAACATTTCAAGTTATGAAGCTGGCATGTTTCCTGACATTTTATATATGTTTCTGTATCAGCGATATCCCTGCTTTTTATTGCCATTTTAAAATGTGTTTATTGCTGACTAATGTTTAACAAGTTTCCTCATCATTAAAAGTTGTTGTGTAGCTCCTGCTCCAGTACTGCTTACAGTTGTAACTGGGCTTTCACTGGAAGTTCAGCCTAGCTGTTTGCCTCACTTGTACGTCACTATGGATAAAGGTATCTGCTAAATATGGAAATGTAAAGTAATCGGTTTTGCACATACAATCCATATTGTATGTGCAAAAAAATATTGTATAAAGTCTAGCCTTCAACCTTCACATGCTCACTGAGCTCAGTGACCTGATGACCTGCTTGCTGCTTAATATGATTTTTTTCCAAAGGATGCCACAGTCTGCATGTAAATCTTTCCAGAAATTTCCCTGCCATGTCTCATAAAGCCATAGCATCAGAAGCCACTGTAAACTCTGCCTCCCCTGCTTGTATTGACATGCAAACCCTATGGGCTGCGCTTCTTCCCCAGCTACTGGGCTGGCTGCTGACTGGCCTGATCGCCGTCAGCCTTTTCCTCCTGCTCTGCCTGAAGCGATGCTGTAGCCCCCTGGGAGCCGAGCAGGAGGCTTACTGGAAGAACTTCCGCTACAGCGAGGACCAGATCTTCGAACGCACCGCCGGCATCCACGCCAAACTGCTGGCCACTGAGAGCGTCAAGCAGTTCTTTGGGTTTGTGGCACTGGAGCAGGAGGACAAACAGCAACTGGAGCAGTACCAAGCCCAGAACAACATCCCCCGATCCCAGTGGAACAACATCACAGGGGTCTACCTGTACAAAGAAAAGAGCGGAGTTCCCCTCTACAGCCAACTCAACAAGTGGGCCACTGCCACCCCAGACAACAACGTGGAAGTTACTGAGATGAATGCACTCTGCTAAAAGGCAGCTGACCCACAACCAGCAGAAAGCCCCCTTCTTCTACCTTATTGTTCATTTATCTGTCCTCTATACTTTCTGCTGTATTTATGTAAGAGGGCTTGGCAGCTAGACAGAGATAATAACCGTTTTTTTGGGTCAGGGTGTCATTCATTCACGAGAAACGCTAAGGTAGCATTTGCAGTTGATTAAGTTTACAGAGAAATGGTCGCGGTGCAGGGTTCGAAACCTTCCCGCCGCCACCTGCACTCCTATCTGTAACGCACAAGCATGACAGCAAATGTTAGCATCTCTCCTTTCACTGTTGCCTTTTATACTGCTCACAAAAATGTCTTTCACCTATGAAAATCAGCACGTTAATCACAGGGACCATGATTATTTATAGAATCTCATGCCAGATCAGCAGCATTTAAAAACAATCGATATGCAGATCTCAACATACAGTACATTCACATCATCACATCAAACTATTATCCATCCATCATCGGGGGTCCAGAGCCTAACTGAGGGGCTGGGGGTGCAACTCAGGGAACAATTCAGGGAACAATTCAGGGAACAACCCATCGCAACAAATGAACCCTAACCCTAAACCTAACCCAGAAAACATACATTTTTTTGTAATGCATTCTTTTTAGCCCGTTAGCACATGAATATCTCCCCATTCATGATTTATTGTTATTGTTAAATATAATTTTGAATCTGTTATTTATATTCTTTACAGAATCATAAATCAGAATCAACTGTTTTGAAAATATTTATGTCAGGTGGTGAGTTGGACCATGTTATCTTTTACTTTGCCTGTGTGTTGCAATATACATGTATAGTCTCATTGCACCAGTATTACCAGTACAGGAAGCAAACTACTATACCAAAGAAAGTTATTCTGCTCTGCCACAGAACAAAAGGAAACAGTGGCACCTACTGGCTATAATGAGCATCTACCACTTACTACGTCCATTTTCTGCTCCTTTCTTTCCCCATTTCCTAGTTCCCCTTTTTCCTGTCCTTCCCCTCTCCCTCCTCCTCTCCCCCCATTTTGCCCCCTCCCTTCTCAGCCAGACAATCGGTGAGGGTGGGGGTTGCAGCCATGCAAACGGCGGTCACATGACCTGGATCTGTTTACATACCGGGTGGAAGCTGCACCGGGCTCCATTACCAGCTGCTCGGGGCAGAGGAATGGAAGCACTTTGTAGCCAAAGCATGACGGCTACTCTCTCCATGACGCCGTTCCCGCCAGCTGGGCTGCCGGTACCTCAAATGGCTCCCAGCGACATCACACATTCCTCCATTTGCTGAGCTCCTGTCCAGCTTCTGCTGGACAACCTGCAACTGGTCTGCTTTTCGCTATACTCTGGAAGACAAGTGTCCATTGATTCAGGCCTTGCCAATGGACAGCAATTTTTCTGCTGCACAGACTCACACCAGCAAAACTGTTTTTCCACACCAGAGGAGTGATACCATGACCAGAACTGGATGCAGCTCTTTCCACTCTTACTCATTTTTCATCTAAACTTCTGCAAGACAAGAGCAGTCAATCAGTTACGCTCTGTATATAAACAATGAAGGAGTTTTTTTTAGATAGATTTCACTCTATTGTTGTATTTCATGTACAGAAGAAGCTCAGAAGAAGTCAGCCTATAAACCCATTAACTATAGTCCTTGGCAGCTTGGCTGATCTTCTGTATCCATGAAGGTAACAAAAGAAGAATGTATGGGGATGACCGTCACTTACCAATACCTCGTTTGCTCAATCCACCATTGAAAGAAGGTTAAATACTGAGTCTGCTAACAAAGAGTGAGTAACAAATACTACCCTACTACTTATAGACACTCTCCACAGATTCAGAAGTGATTGCTGTCTTGTATTGTGTTCTGAGGGTGCATTTATATTAATGTGAAGGATCTTTGCGAAACCAGTGTGTCAGTCTGAAGGTTTTAAGGCAGTACAGTATAAGTCAGTGTTTCTCAGCTCAAGATGGACAGAGCCTAGTTTTTACAAAAGTATCACAACCCCCCCCTCAGCAACTTTCTGCGCAAACTGGGGTCACGACTTCCTGACGAAGGAACAGTCATGTGGATCCTGTGGTTAAACCACTTGAGCATCCCGCAGGGGACATTTTAGTGTGCTATTGCAGCATTTAGTGCACTGCGTAGTGTACAGCGCAGTGTGTAATACAATGCACAAAATAGTGAACTATGCAGTGTGCAATATATTGTGTTATGCCGCATACAAAGGAATACGACACAGCAGTGGAATGCAGTCCAGTTAGTGCCACAAAGGGTGTTTAATGGATCAAGTTTGTCACAGTACTCCACACCCCCCACCCCATCCCTCTAGCATTACCAGATAGAGGGGCTGACCAGAGTTTCACTGAAACTAAGTCTGTCGGAGCAGTGAAAGGTCAATGTACATTTGAGAGAAGCTACAGTGAGAGAGGATATGTTAAGCTAGCCAGTGCACATGAGAGGCGTCCATTAAGGTAAACCGTACGTGGGAGAGGTTCCGTTACAGCCAGTCTATCAAAGCTTCTTCTTCTGTGGGTTAAAATTTAGTGAATCAGCATAACTTTTTCACTAGGTTCACAGATCCTTTGAATGTGTGATTCTGAGAAAATCTCCAGGAAAACGCTTAGATCTGGTGGGCAGATTAACGTAATGTTACATGACATCATATAATGACGGCCATCATGTAAGCAGTAGTCTTCATTTACATTGTATCTGTGCCACAAGACTAACCCTGGAAGCTTTAAAGATGACCTGGGGAGAGACTTACCAGATGCCCCTCAACGTCTACATCGCTGGGCTGGGAGTCGGCCTGTTCCTCTTCGTGCTGACCGTCATCTGCTGCTGCTGCTGTTTGTTCAGGTAATGAGGGTTCTGTGTGGGTGTCAGGACCTGGAACCCCGAACTGGAGCTGCAGTGCAGTGGATACAAGTCGTTTTTTCTATTTTGCAGGTTGAGACGATATAAAACAAGGGAGCACTATGAATACAACGAGGTAACATTTAAAATATCAAAAAAAAAATTAGAATTTTCAATTACCTCTCAGTTTCTCAAAGGCTGAAATGAATGTCAATAAAATGTCAAGAAAAAAACGTCTGTATGTGCCTCAGTCAACTTTCTGCATTGTGCTACTGGAATTTGTATAAACCACTGCATTTACCGCATACCATGCATTTACTGCACTCTGCTGTGTATCTTGTGCCTTGTATTTATTCTGTCTGCGCTGTGTCCTCGTTGTTAGTTGTCTATTGTCATGCTGCGTCCAACAGCAGGACGCTGAACCAACAAAAATTTCCACCAGCCTTGGTCATGTGGCAATAAAGACCCCAATTCTGGTGCCGGAAGACTCCGCTTCGCACGAAAAGGCTGTTACAGGCTGTTATTTCCCCCACAGGTGATTTTGAAACGAGTTGGAAAGAAGACTTTCCAAAGTCTCCTTGGAGTAAGTCTCACGCATCGTCCTCCTGTGACCGTTGTAACCGTACCCAAGGCCTTTGTAGTGGGATAGGGTGAGAGTCACTGGAGTTTCCGCTGAGTGACTGACGCTCCTGACGCTCCTGATTTGCCCCTGCAGCAGATGTGTGCCGTTTGCTTGGAGGAGTTCCGCATGCGTGACCAGCTCGCGCTCTGCCCATGCTCTCACACCTTTCACACAAAGTGAGTACTCACCTCTGCTAGCCCACCAATAGTAAACGTGAAACTGTCCAGGTCAAAGGTCATATGTCAAAGGGAAGAGGCATTTTTAATGAGTGAAGTGCTATATTTGAAATGGTTCTCTTGTTCATTCACTATTGCCCATATAGGAAAATATACATAGTTCACTCTATAGGAAAATAATGAAATTTAATGATTTCAGGCAGTAAAGACCATTGAAATTTCCAAGTAGCAAAACATAGCAACAAAATTAATTGAATGAGATACAGCAAATATGGATGTGCAAGCCTATAATTTAATTACAATGCATTTCCTTTACCTAATGCTTTTATCCAAAGCGATTTATAACATTAGAAAGGGTTACATTCTATGTACGCTACTTGGGATGTGAACCTATACCTTTGCCTTGTTAGCACAATGCTCTACTTGTTGAGTTACAGAAGTATTAAAACAAGCATCATTATTTGATTTTCAGATGGTAACTTCAGGCTTTACTGACCCTGCTATAATCATTATGTTATTTTTTTATTTTATGGTGGTGTTCATTGTAGCATGGTAACATTTATTGTCTAAAGAGCCCAAAGAGGAGTGGTTCTGTAGTGTAGTGGTTATCATGTCTGCTTTACACGCAGAAGGTCCTGGGTTCAAGCCCCAGTAGAACCAGCTTATTTTCTTGCTCCAATACTACTTACACTTGTACCTGCATGTATATTAGAAGCTCAGCCTAGCTGCCCTTATGCCTAGTTGACTCATCAAGAGCATGTACGGTTGAAATATGCTATTTGCCTCACAAGTATTTCACTTTAGACAAATGTCTGTTAAATAAAATAAATCTAAATGACCCTAAGTGCACCTCGAGGTTATGCAAGTACTGTATTATCTAGTGAACAAGAAAGGAGATGGAGTGCTGTGACAGATGACCTGGCCCCCACAATCCCCTGTCCTGAACCCTATAGAGATGGTTTGGAATGAGTTGGATCAAAGTGTAAGAGCAAGATAGCCAACTTGTGGTCGGAACTTGTGCGAACTCCTTCAGGCCGGCTGGAGAAGCATTCCAGGTGGCTACATCTGGAAGCTGGTTGAAAGAACGGCAAGAGTCTGCAACGCTGTCATCCGAGCGAAAGGGGGCTATTTTGAACAATCTAAAATTTGAGAAATTTTTGTTATGTTGAACACTTCTCTTGGTGAAATTTAGTATTTCTTCATTGCCTTGAGACCTTTTTCAGAAATTTCAGAAAGGTGAATAACATCTAACAGAGACAAATGCATTAAAAGCAGGGGTGTCCAGACTTTTGACTGGTACTGTTAATGTTAAGTTGTGCTAATCCACAGGCCAATGCACAGGTTTGACCGATCTCTCTGCCTCCTCTTCCTTCCTATCCCCCACTCCATGCCTGGGAAGGTGTCTGCTGAAGTGGCTGGAGATACGTAGCCTTTGCCCGATGTGCAACAAACCTGTGTATAAGGTGCCACTCACCGGCCCACAGGATATCATCAACTTCCAGGTTCCCCAGGACCTGTGAAAGGGGAGTGCTGGTGGCTTACTGGAACCAACATGGCGAGCATCAAACCACCTTCCTAGAAGCCCAACCTCAGCCTCCTCCTTCTGGACCTCCTGGATCCTGGTCTCAAAAGACATCGGAACTAAGCTGATCTGCATTCCGCTCTGCTTTCCTGAGGGAGCCTCATTAGGAAGAACCATCAGACAGGAGGCTGTGGTTCAGAGGCCTCCCAGTGAAGGAACCAGAGCCCCAGCCTTCATCCTGGAGGTTGACTCCATGCTCCCCGAGGTCATCAGCAACATCTCGTCCTGAGGAGTTCTCTGCAGGTGTCAATACAAGGCAACAGAGGACCTGCTCCGAATGAAGCCCCCAGATGCAAAAGAACCTCAGTGTCCCACACAGTGAATATATCTACTACACAGGTGGAGTGGAGGGTGGAACGAGGCAACTTCATTAGCACCTCGGGGCGAAAGGAGAAACAAACTAAACAACATTCAAATTACAGTTTTGCTTTCTAAATTAAATACACAATAATGTAAACTGTCAGGATCATTGCTTTCAAACGCAGACCAACCTTGCTTTCTACTCAGATAATCACAGGTAGTAAAGGGCTTTGCCCCCTGACCTCAGCCCTCTTCCTAGACCTGCCAATTCCACACACATGGAGACATGGCGGAGCCTCGAACGCTGGTCCCAAAGGTATGAGGTGACAATGCTCACCACTGCACCACCATCCTTTCCTCAGGATGTGGAGGCAACAATCCAACACATTTTGTAATTGCACCAAAGTAAATGTATTTTTTTGTGAAAAGAGTCTGATGAGTAAACCTTTAGTTTATCTTCATATTCACTTGAGTATCAGTTGTTCCCACTTGACACCTATTAAGAATGCATTATGTAATAACACCACATTACGTTATAACTCGACAGAATGTAACAAATTAGATGGTGATGATAATGGTAATAGGGTAATGTTACAATGTAAAACTAAAGTCCATAGATGTGTAACACTATTGAGTTATTACATAATGCGTTGTAACACGCCTGCATCATGCCTACAACAGGACATACTCAGAGGGTAAATTAACTATGGGCGATTCAGTGACACAAACACACCCAGCCAAGGAGGACATGCAAACTCTGTATACACACAGAGCCAGGGCAGGAACTGAACACTTCCTGGTTGCTTCCCATGATCCATTGCAGTCGTACATCAAAACCTGTGCAGGCACACATGTGCTATGACAGAAACACCCTCTGTTGTAGCAAAAAATGATTTTCATGATTCACAATTACAGGATTCACAATTGCAGGAGGCATGTTTCACGTTCGTGCCTCTCTCTCTTCATGATGAAATTATCACAGTGATTCTCACCCATTTGAAAAGTACTTATGAGACCACACTTTACAATAAACAGATTTTCCTGTGAAAATTCATCAAAACAATGATTACATTTCTGCGGCAAACATGATGCCATCTAGTGGCAGCAGACATACACAATCAACCACGCGTGATCCTTGCATTTCAAACATAAGGGGAAAAAGATAGAAAAAGGGTTCGTTCAACACTGCACTGGCAGTGACCAAGGTACTGGTTTCATAAACAGTGACGCTTCATAACGGGACAGGGGGAAGAGTCATTGGAGAGGGGGGTGAATTATTAAAAAAAAAAAAAACAATACATACTGACAGGATCCAGTAGTGATACCTGTCAATTCAACCATTTTCTACAACTGCTTATCCAAAACAGACTCATGACAAGTCAGGATCTTATCCCAGAAATCACCCAGTATGGGACAGGGGACAACCAGGACGGGACACTGGTTAGTAACAGGATATGTGAAGGCAAAATTGTTACATAAATATGTAATTAGAAAACAGGAGAAAGCTGTACAATATCATATATAAAATAGTCTTTTTATATTACTCAATTTCAACTGGCATTTATGTAGACCAATCACAACTGGGCTCTCAGGGAATGACCAATCAGAAGCCCGCAGCACCAGTACAACCAGTACAACCTTTTGGCAATAGGCAACAAGTTTTCTTTCGCTGATTTATTAAAACAGTAACTAAGGAACCTTTTCAAAAGAGTGCGACGGTCTTTCATCCTTACAAAGGCAGGTTTGTTAATGTATTCAATGGCATGAAATGTCTGAGTCAACACTTCAACTGGCCTATCAGCTAAGCCGATGTACTAGAAGAAATCTACACAACTTAAAGCAATGTTTCTCAGTCCGATCCTTGGGAACCCCAGCTGGCCTGTTTTTACTCCCTCCAAGCTCCCTACCAGAAAAGGTGACGGTCCCCTGCAGGCCGGGCTGAGAAACACTGACTTAAGACACCAGCAGCAGATCCCATGGCGGCTGATTTTCGTTTTCTGCTTCAAACTGGATCTGCAGTCACGGCTGAAGCACGCTTCCTGATCAGCTTCTCTCTTCTGTCTGCTGTCGCATACAATCGTGTCGAGAGCCTTAAATCGAACAGCGCATACAAGCGTTCCTGTTAAAAATGTTTATTTCTATTTACATATTGCATAATGACTGAAATGCCGTGTGTTTGCGAGCCACACTGGGGAACGTGGGCCTCAGGCCTGGCAGTGACTGCAACCTAAACCGTCCGTTTGTGAGTTTATGAGGAGGAACCGACAGCCTCCCTGCGATTCCATGCCAGAGGAGGTGACTTTCGTGAAAGATCGGGACCTCAATCACATTTTTATCATATTAGCAAAGTTCTCAAGATGGGTCTGTCGCTATGCCGGACCCCCTGTCCGCCATGCCCCCAAGTCAGGGAAGCCTCAAGGTGCCCCCCCCCCCCTATGGGTTATACCCCCCAGCCGCCAGCAGCAGGTTCCGGCGAGTGAAGTGCAGGTGGATGACGGGTGTGGATTTGGACGTGTAGGTCCCCAGCTGCAGCTCCAGGGAATTCTCCGACAGGTGCACGTGACCGGTGGCGGCGGTGAAGTCGTCCGTCTCGATGTCGTCGAAGGCCTTCACCGCGTCCCAGAGGCGGACCGTGTTGTCCATGGAGCCTGGGGAGCAGGAAACAGAGGAGCAGCTGATTGGCCTTCGATCAGACAGACAGCAAGGGGGGGGGGTTTGACAAGTCAAACAGAGTCTAACACAGAAATGCTACAGGACAAGCCCAGTTAGTGCAGAAGTTCTAACTCTTTTTGGATAAAGAATTTTGGATAGCGATGGTGTAATGAGAGCTAATCCAGAAGCAGCAGTGGGCCGAACGGCTAATCGGCGGAGTGTGCGGCTGACCTGAAGCCAGTATCTCTCCATCTCGACTGAACTTGAGGGCGTAGATTGTGTCCGTGTGACCATTGAGCTCCTCGATCATCAGCCCCCGGCCGATGTCCCATAGGAGAACCCGGCCGTCAGTGGCCCCCGACGCCAGGAATTTCCCGTTGGGGGAGAAGGCCAGCGAGTGGATAGGTCCCTGGGGAAACAGTGACTATGTGGTAACTTTTGTGATGTTCACTGGGGGGGTCAAGGGGACACCTTCTGACCCATGACCTTGCCAGGTCCCCTTGTGGCATGCATACCTTGTGCCCCGTGAAGATGCGATTGCAGTTGCCGTTCAGGATGTCCCAGAGCCTGACGGTGCGGTCAGCTGACCCCGTGGCCAAGTAGTTGGAGTTGGGATGGAAGCGGGTACAGGTGATGTCGGCCAGGTGGCCCGCGAACATGCGCAGAGGCTGGTAGTGATCCGTGGCCCAGAGCCTTCAGACCGGAAAGGACAGACTTAGAAGCGATACCGTTCTGTATGGGGCTCACCATCCCCCCCTAATGGAATGACCCTGCTATTACCACTAACAAAATCATTCACAATTTTTTGTTATACGAATTTAGCTAATCGTAGCCACATTTGAACAGTATTTTAAGTATAGACATATAGTTTAACTATCTCGCCCAGCGGCATGACAGAAAAACATCTTGAGGGTCTTGAAATAGCCTTTAAATAAGTCTTCACATAATAGATAGAGACAGTACAGGGTCTTGAAATGTCATTAACCACTACGCTACCGGCCCAGTCACACAGGCTCACCGAGCAACACGGTCGTGGCCCCCGGACGTGAAGTAGTAGCCATGCGGGGAGAACTGCACATCCCACACGGGGTAGTTGTGTCCCTTGTAGCACACCAGGCAGGTGAAGGTCTGCAGGCTCCACAGCCTCACAGTACCATCCTCCGAGCAGGACAGCAGATAGTTCCTGAAAGAGCAGGCGGACATATCCAGACCGGATCCGGGGGTCTTTAAAACAAGCGACAATCATGGCTACATCAAAGCACAATTGACATAATAGGGAAGCCTATATTATTACTACTAAAACTAATACTATAATATAAACAAACATACAGTACAAAGCAAAGACAGCAGACAGTATAAATAATACTGTGCAGAAAATAGGCACGAATTATCATTAATATGAACAATAGTAGCAATGATATTTCAGAATGAATTACCTATCCGGGCTGAAGCTAATTCCATACACCGGACCGTTGTGTCCGTACAAGATCTTGGATTCGCTCGCTGTCTTTTCATCCATGATTCTTTCCAGGACGTCTTCCGACTCCTTATCGATCAAACTCAAGTCTACAGAGGGATACAACACATCCTCAAAATGTCTGCTGACCAGTCTAATGGTCTATAACTGGACATGTTTTTCAGCGATGTAGGGTACAGACAGTGGATAGAGACAGTAGAGAAGATCAAAAGTAGAGCAAACTGCAAGTAGTGCAAACTGAAAGAAAACTACAAATCAAATCAATCCCAACAATACTATAAAATTCAAACTGAAGGAAAAATTCGTATGAATATGGTTTGTGGGTTATAGTATGTGGATCCCAACATCTACACCAGCATATCTAGTCTTAATCCACATTGACCTTCTCCCTACTGAGGCCAGCAGCCTAATACAGCGTTCTGGTAGCTATAGCCACGCCCCTCTGCTCACGCCAATATTCCCTCCAAAAACTAACCAAAAGGATTGAAAATGAGGAAACTTTGGGTAAAGATGACAAATAGTACCTTCACGGTTGTTGTCGATTTTTGGGTGTCTCCTGTGTGGTATAAACGACCTTCCTTCTCATCCCATCCTGTTAAGTGTATCCTGAATTTTTTTTCCCCCTTCTGACAATGATGAGAAGCTACGATGCCGTAGAAGCCCCCTCCCCCAGCCCTCTGCAGTGCCTCACCTGTTGCGGATTTGACCGCACGCAGCTTCCTGGGAGTGACGCTCCACACTCGTACGGTGGAGTCCGCGAAGCCGCCGGCGATCAGGCTGGAGTCGTCCGTGATATCCACAGCGGTCAGACCCTGCACAGCAGACGACAGTGCTAAGATTCTGCTATCACGGAATGAAGTGAGGCCATCATGCAGTGTCGCTGCTTGTGGTATAGACCATACACGATAAACACTAGTGCACTCCTATTGGGTAGTTAATGGCCTGTGTAGATTTACCTGGTAGGCGTTGAGAAAGGTGTAGAAGCAGATTGATGGCAGGTTGTCTGGGCCCAGTCGGATACGCTTGGTGGCCTCCTTCATATACATGATTTTATCCAGCTTGTCAGAATCCTTCAGCTCAGGAAGAGGAATCCTGGAAAAGAAAGGGAGCTTATTCCCAAACCAGGGAGGCGGGAAAATGCATCCCGATGTTACGGAATGCCCAGCAGGTAAGGGCAGGCCCGAAGCCCCGGCCAGTCCTTCCACGCCACCGCTGCCGTACCTGTTCTGCTGGGGCGCATTGGGATCCTGCTTCTTGCTCTTCGAGCCCATGCTGTCCTTTTTCGGTTTCTTCTTCTTGGGCTTCCCCTCCTCGTTCTCCGCCTCCTCGTCCTCATCATCTAGGGGCACCTCGATCTCCGGTTCCTTCAGGAGTCCGTAGAACACCTGCGGACATGGGCACGGGGTAAGAAGTGGAGACTTGCAGAGGACCAACTAATCAGATATCTTGGTCCAGCTTACTCTAGTTCCCTTGACCCACCTCCTCTACAATCTGATTGGTTATCTCTCTGAACCAATCATGTCTTTCATTCTGCCCTCAGAACATTTCTGTGAAAAACTCCCACAAGCACATTTATTACTAATTCACTTTAAAGTGATGGTACATTTGGTATTGTATTTGTTGTACAATCTTGTTTACGTATTTCCCATATTTCCCAGTCAATCATATATTATACTGCCTTTTTTACACCTTCTGCTACGCTGAATTTTTACAAACCACTAACTTTTGGCCTTCAAAATAATCCCAATGTGGCATCATGTAGCCCTACCATCAGCCCTTTCTTGCACTCTCCTTTGGAGTTTACACAAACATACATTTGGGTGTACGTTTGTTCCATGATTGTATAATAACAAAGTTGAATTGAACCAAATATAAATATTCATGACTACATTTCCCAGAAATCTAAGCATTTCCGGTGACACAGGCAAATGATGTACTCAATCATTTCCTGTTATGTTGCAAGAGAAGTTCCCGAAGACCTCTGCACCTTGGCCTTGTTGGCTTCCCGCTTGGCCTCCCCCGCCAGACTCCCCGACATGCTGTCGATCTGGCTCTTGCTGCGTGGCATGCCGTCGAAGATGTCGATGTAGAGGTGCTCCTGGATGATGTTCCAGATCTGGTTGTTCTGGCGCTCCTGCAGGTGCCTCTTGAGCAGCTGGTACGAGTCCCGGGAGATGCGCAGCACGAACTTGCTGGTACGGAAGTCGAGGAGCGTCTCGTTGCCTCTCATGTGCTCCTTCTTGGACATCCCGGACAGCACCCGCAGATCATCCCGATAGTAACACTCCTGGTCTCCATGGAATCTAGTGGAGGGGAGGCAGGGTCAACTAAACAAACAAATCAAACCACTCCGAGTTTAAGTCGAGACAAACATCTAAGGGAACTACGCAGACTGATGTAAGCAGTCCACCTTGACCTTCTAGGACTTACTTTTCAAAGAATTCCTTTGCTTCTTGTTCATGGTTGTTGTACACGAGCTCCAGGTACATGTGGACAAACAGTGGGTAAAATAGCTGTGACAGTTCAGCTCTGTGACAGTCAAGAACCGACTCAATAAACTTCTTGAGTCCACTGTAGTACATCTGGTACAGTGCTGGGTCCCCCTGCTGGCTGTAGGCAGAAAGTACCACACTGACATCTGGTTGGTCCTCGCTTCCTTGGGCTACTGTAGCTGACAGATAACAACATACATGACAAATCTTCAATGGTTATACAGTCATATATCACACAGGGTTGTACCAGCACTAACTTTTGAAGTTAGGATTAAATATTACTGACTGCCACTGCCTACGACACTCCTTTGTACTGTATATTGAGATTTGATAACTGGGTAAAACGAATTAGACATTTTTCAAATGGCTTTTAATTATACTCCCGTTAGTGATAGCGCAGGCTGTGTTAGGCTAAGCTTCGGGAATCCAAAAGACGTTACCCATCTTCAGATACTCCACATTTTTAAAACCGTCTGTGTGACCAAGATATCTGATTGGTTGGTCCCACCTCCTCTAGAAGTTTCTCTATGTATGTGTGTGTGTGTGTCTGTGTAAACTATTAGACTACACGAACAGCATCGATTTCATTGTATTTCAGTGCAGCCTCGTTAAAAAAGATGTGATTGTTATTGTTGTGCATGATAAACAGTCCTGTGGGCGCTCTCGCAGGCTGCAATACCCCACACGGCGCCACTACCCCACCGCACATATCGCACAAGAACAACTTACCTTATAAACCCTCCAAATAACAAGTAAAAAATAAACAGCCTTTAAGTTTATTTTACTGTACCTTTACTAGGCGCCGGACCTGTTGCGATACCAGAGGCTCCCGTGGCGCTTGTCACTCGGCTGAAAAGCGACGCTGCCTCCCCGCCTTCATCCGCACTCGCCCCCCCTAACTCATCCCGGCCGCCCTCGGAGCCCTGCGCGTCATCCGACTCCTCCAGCAAGCCGGCCTCTCGGCGCAGGATATCGGCCGATTCCACCAGCTTGTTCCTCTTGAGGAACTGCAGCACGGCCAGGAGAGTCTGCTGGTCCTCCGACGCCGCCGCTTTCGAGGAGTTTGAGGCCCCAACGGACGCAGTCGAAACCGGAGAGGAGGGAAGCAGCCCCCCGACTGCAGCTGCATGGTTTCCCGTCGCATCGTTCAACGTTTCCGATTTAATTTCCTTTTCGCTCTCCGGTTCGATCTGACCATCCTGAACAGCCGCCATTTTCCCATGTTACGTTGCGGCTCTTTCAGTTCATGGATAGGCTGCCGCTGTTGCTTCTTCTTCGAAGGAAATGAAACAACTTGCGGCTCGTTACCGCCACCTATTGCATGGGAGTGTGTAAGATTCTTACCGCTTCGTTGAAGTTGCTTTAAAAACACTGCAAAGCTTCTTGATTTAATCTGTGAAGTATAGACATAATATATCGCTTAATATTGTTTTATTTCACATTTCATGACAACTGGGATATTTTGTAAATTCGAATTTTGCCCAAAGTGTGATCAGTGCTTGGTATGAGCATTCATGCGTTTCACCAGTAGATGGAGCCTTGGTCGAGAATTTATCGTATTAAAGTATATTTAAGATTGACATGACCCATCTATAATTCTGTTTGATGTTTTACTGTGGATAGTGGGTTCATTGAAATTAGTTTTATCACTGGCATTTTTTAATGTCTGCATCCTCTGACTGCTCACTTCCCGAGTAACTGTACACAGATAGATTAGATTAGATTAGATTAGATTAGATAGTACTTTATTAATCCCTCGGGAAGGTTCCTCCGGGAAATTTAGATGGGCGAGGTATGCCGCATACGTGCTTTTTGAGTAGGTTTGATATTTAAATTTAAAGCAAAGCCATTGTATTCCGTAAAGTCTGGGGCACTGGCATCTACAAGGCACAGACTTTGGTTTAGAGTTGGGGGAGGCGCACTAGCCTTCACGTTTAGGGTGAAGGGGGTCACTCTGTCAGGTACACAGACGGGGTGTGGGATGGGG